CGTTTCTCTGAATCACTGAAAGTGCTACACGAATTGCTTAGTGAATCTGATACAGATCCCGGTAGATGTGCAAAACATGCAATATCGGGTTGTGCTTTTGTAAAGGTGGTGTCACTTTCTTTGAAAAGTACCACCGTGGGGAAAAAATAGACGAAAGTGTAAATATAAAATGGAGTGAATAAAATATACCCAAGTTTTTTTTACTTATACGTATGTAATTATCATATTGCCAAAAAGAGCTTTTGGGAGGCTAGAGTAGCAGGTATTCCCGTGGCATATCCTGGGTAATGCTAAATGTGCTGCGGTATTCAGAATCTTGTGTTTTTTAATCATAAGCAAAATCTCTTTTATGTGCATCTCAGGGATGCTTGTTTCAGCACTCTGTCCGAAGCTGTTCTGTCGTGCACACCCACATAATTAAAACAATAAATGCTATCTTCGCAAAACTGTCCGAAGCTGTTCTGTCGTGCACACCAACATAATTAAAACAATAAATGCTATCTTCGCAAAATTTTATCAGTGTACTCCTAGGCCTGATTAGACTGCCTACATTTGGGGGGGGGTCGAAATTCCAACTTTGAAAGCTAATGTGCCAGAAAGGGTTAATTGGGCATCAGTTGTCAAAGTGCTAGGTGTTGTAGCCTGTTAATGTGTCAAATAGCTTTCATTAATGATGTTCCGAATATGGAAGAACAATGAACATTAATCTAGGAATTTTCAATTGCTCAAGCAAATAATCTGATAAGCTGCTTCTGGGTATGAACATCTGCAAATTAACTCATAACATGGGGTACTATTTGCAGATACAATGCAATGCGTCTATCACCTACTGCCATCTAGATTTTCCAACCTCATTGAATTCATGTGGTAATACACTCACTTCCAAAAGTTAAGCACGAAGATGTGAAATGCAAAAAAATCAACAAATGCTGTTTTGATTGACACAACATTCGGCAGGAAAGTAGCATACATGTATATCATATCTATGCATAAAACAAAATCAATAATTATATACATAAATGAAAACAATATTAATTTTTTGTAAGTTTTCAGATAATGACATACTGGAGACTTAACAGAATTACGTATAAAGTCAAAATAAACAGCATAAAATGAATAAAAAGGACATGGTATGTGATCTTTCCTCATCTGTATACAAAGTTTACACCTTGTGGCCATGCTTTCAATCAGGTGGTCAACCACCGCAGAATTAAGCAATCACCATTCTTCTTGTAGAGCAGTTTCCAGCTCAATAAAGTTGGCTGGAGGTGGGAAATGTGAAGGTGCAGCATGGCCGAAAGCGTCCCAAAGGTTTTCAATGGGGGTTACGGTTGGGTGAATATGCTGGCCATGCCATATGCGCAATCCCTTCACTCTCCAGGTAGTCATCGACGATGTCAGCTGTATGGGGACGTGCGTTATCGCCCATTAAAACAAAAGTAGGGCCAACTGCTGCAGCATGCAATCTCACAATGGTTTCTAGGATTTCATCTCAATACTGGACAGCCGTCAAAGAACCTCGTTTAAAGATAGCAGATCGGTGCAGTATCCTAATGAAATCCCTGCTCGCACCATATGCTTCCTCCTCGGAATGCGTGATGTTCAGTATTCCTTTGGGACTAATTGCATGTTCGTTGTTAACGCCATATCCTTATATGCTTGTCATCTGGCTCCAGAGCAAATCTTGATTCGTCAGTAAACATGACATTGCCCCAGTCAGACACATTCCAATTGACATGTTCTCGGCACCACTGTAATCATGCCCCTCTTGATTGGGCGGATAAAGGAACACAAACTCGGGTTACCCGGGCGTACAGTAGCTGAAGATATCGCCTTACCAATGAACGCTCTAACCATAGATGTCGCACATGGAGGTCACTCTGCTATTCTGCTTGCCTGCAATAGCAATATATCAATCTTCTGCGGGGGTTCTAACCCTTGGGCAACCGGCTACAGGCCTTTGGACAATTGTCTGTGTGATTTGGAATTGTTTCCATAAACGTGAAATTACAGAATGATGAACGCCGACTGTGACATCCTGCTTCAATTGGCGCCTCAGAATGCCAGCACTCGGAATCTTCCATTCACCTTTTGGAAGTCATAGAAATACGTATGTCTTGAAAACAAATTGTACGAAAGTTTTAAACACCTTGTATCAGCATTTGCAATCAACTTTTCTAACCCTTCATAAACCTGGCTTCTTATAAGACTGTCTTTTTTGCACATTTCTTGACATGAAAGCGTGATTGGCTGTTACCTAATATATGTGCATACTTCCATCTACCTCTGCAGCGAATTGCATCCTCTTCAATTCTGTTTGGCTTCCGAAAATTAGCATTTTCCTCTCCGTGCTTAAGTTGCATGAAAATGGGCAAGTGTTGTCAGTGTTTAATGGGAAATCAGCAGTTTTATTCATCTATGAAGTCTGAAATTAATAATATAATTTTTTTTGTAGCTGTCTACTTTAATATTTGTTCTGACTAGTAAAAAAGTCACTCTTTTTATGGAGCTTTACATATCATTAGAATTACTGCCATGTAGTTAGATTTAACACTATTTACATGTGGTGCTCTGTTACAAGTTGTCAATTAATGTTATGAACGAATAAGCATTTTCATTTTTGGTTTTAAAATGTTGTATTGCCATTTATTTTGTCATCTATTTTTTGGATAGTTTATTATAATATATAAAAGGAAATAAGATATATTGGTTGTGTTTGATTATTTAACTTCAACAAAGATTATATCAGGCAGAAGATGTATATCTTTCGAGAGGATTTTCTTTTTTAAAGAGAATTTTAATCTAATTTTTGTACTGTTAGTTGATAAATATATCTTTAAGAATGTTTCTTAATTTTTTATGGATCCTTCAATGGCTGAAATCTGGTAGCTTGCTTAGGTTCAAATCCCAGCAAACTGATTGGATTTGTGGGCATTTTCATGGTTTTTGCAATGTATAATGTGGATATGAACCAGCTTCCCTTATAAAGGCATCCTTTGCCTTATACAGCTAGCTGTCGTGGCCTTTAACGTAATCCAGTAAACAAACCAAATCCCATGTAACAGGCTGATTACATATGGAATTTTCCACCATGAACATAAATAAAAGCAATATTTTAAGGTTTCCACAAATACATCCATCTCCTTGAATAGCGTTCTTGTGCTTTCCCGTAATCACGTGCTAATTCTTATACATTCGAATATACTATATTACAGAGAAGACTACTAAAGGGAAAAAAAAAAAAAGTGATCAACTTTTCTGAATTCCCATTATTTCTGGCACAATATAAGTTTCAGTAAGTTGAAATTGGCCAAGATGTTATACTAAGTAACTGATGTTTCAATTCAACTTAGGAATTTATTACCCTTAGAGATATCATAAGATAAAAAAATGTCTAAAGATAACTCGGTTTTATTTCATTTACAATGAATTGAAATCACAAAAACTTTTATGTAGGCAACTGTCTCTTGTTCATCTCCTGAAAAATGAGACAAAATTGTCTACATAATAGAGGAACTTCCAACTAAGTTAATGATGCTTAATGGTTTTATATATTTCAATAGATTGGCCAAAATAACATCTTATTATAACGTAAGGCTAAAATATAAAACAAACCTAAACCATAAAAGTAGTTTTATCTTCTTTGTAAAAGGGCTTTTAAAGCATTAAATCTGGTAATCTTATAGAATGTGCAAAATCGCTGAAGTTTTAATTATTGTATAATACGCATATGCAGCAAATGTTACTAGCCAGATAAAAAAATTTTGGTTCGTTTTAAAAACGGAAAACTTGCTGCTTATTTGATTGTAACAAAGCAGGCTACGTCTAGTTGCCTCAAAATAGGGATGTCTTTGTAGAGGGAAAAGCAGCAAGATAACCGAGTACTGGTGGTTCGACTAGGGTTAAAATCCAGGTGAACATAAGAGGTTTTGTGGCTTTGAGTTTACCATGAATGTGAGCACATTTCCTGTAGGAATTCTCCCATGATGCCATCTTTTCCCATAGATAGACAGTCGAGTTAGTCTTGAGTAATTCATGTAACCTTAACCTTCATCGAGGGCTTCTGGACAGAAAGCGATTCATAGTCACTTTACATATGGGGGGGGAGCCAATGAAGTCTGTTTATTGCTTGTATTGAAATCTAGATCAAACTACCTTTTATCTAATGAAATAATCGATACTCTTATCTGTATATCAGCTAGCTGTTACATTGTAATTAAATACAATATTTATTGGCATGAAGGAAGAACCTTAAACATTAGTTGGATTATTTGATTAAGGCAAAGTACACTAGGGGTTTTTGCTAAAGAGTGATGGTTTTGTAAAAGACTCGGAAGAACTGGCTCATGTTCACCTTTTTCGTGCAAAAATGACCATACAGCCAGCTCATTCTCTGAGACTAGGATCTTCTAAATGTAGTTTTTCTTTTTTAAAGGATTGATTAAAACCTATTCCGTCTGCATCTGAATATTCAAATCGGTATCTGCGAAATTTTCCTTTGTAAATCTCTCGGCAACTTGTTAATTTACTCCTGACTGTGACCTTTCAAACGAAGTGCTGTAAGAATTAAATAGTGTCAAGAAAAAAAGTTTAACTGTGCTCTAATGTTTGAGAAAGACACCTGCTACTTGATTTTCAAGTATTTTGGCAAAAGAATAAACCTGCAGTTTATTTCTTTCCAAAATGTAGCCAAACTGCCTGGAAACAATATGTGGCCATCTGGCTATGCTGAACAGTGGTGGTGGACCACCCAGAGAGCTAAAGATAGGTGATTACTCTTAAGTGGAGTGCTCTCTTTATAAAGTTAGGTTGAAAACTTTTAGCTCTTCTGGTGCTAATCTAAAACACTTTTATTATCTTTCTTTTTTTTTTTTATCCTATAATGCCATTCATTGTCTAATTAAAACATTTTATTTAGTTCTGGCAGATGTGCTTTTTAGTTTTTTTGCAACAAGCAATTACCACAAGAATAATGCTTTTGTCTTTGAAATTTCTTTTAGGCTCTTGTCATCTCTGTACCAGTTCAACAGTTAAAAGCTTTTCAGAAGATTCAAGCAAGGCTCGTACGGGAACTTGAGAAAAAATTCAGTGGGAAACATGTAGTTTTCATTGCTAGGAGAACTATATTACCAAAACCAACACGAAAAATGAAGGTTAAAAATAAGCAGAAAAGGCCGAGGAGGTATGGTTAATGATATTCTTATGTATGAAACTTAAACATTGAGCACTTTTTGTATATCTACAAATCAGTGTTGATTAATACTTCATCTCATGTTTTCAATGTAGTATAGTCCATTGAGTTTTTTGTGTAATCATCGTAATGAAACAGTCAAGTGTTGATTGTACTATCATTTTTTTTTTTCACAAAAAGTATCAGCTAAGTGGTAGAAGATTCATTATACTGAGATAAATTAAGAGTTGGAAAAAAAGGAGGCAAGAAGAAATATGTTTCTTCCACTAAAATTAATTAATAATAAAAAAAGGATTATTCATTAAAAGGTAAAGATTTAAGCTAATGAAACTGAAAAGGAATTGATTATGAACTCTGAAATAGTTTTGATAGTAAGAGTTCCTTCAGAGTTTTTCTTGAAAAAATTATCCAGTCATGCTTTGAATTTTTACATATACATATACTGTATTAGCTTGCATTATTTTAACTTATAAAAGTTGAGAGGGGGAAATTATGCAGTTTATATCATTTCTGGGTGAGTCCTAAAATAAAAAGCATAATATATTTAAAAGTACATATGAATAGTAATGTACTACATTTTGCATTCTAAAAATGTGAGTTGTAAAAGTTTCAGTAGCATTCTTTTTTTTACTCATGTAATTTTCCCATCTGTGTTTACATTTTATATTGCCGGTAATATGCAAGTAAATATGGTACTGTTACATTATTCAGACCAAATTCAGAAATGCAGGTATATATATATGTGTACACCTACATACATTTCTGAATGTTCTGATAACCGGATCGTACACAGGGTTCTTACTGTCCTTAAAAGTCCTTAGGTTATGGGAATCGATTTTTGGTCCTAACTGACTTATATACCTTTTGAAGGGGTGAATGGGTTCATAGGTTATAATTTGTTCCTATTTCTAATATATAAAGGGTATCCTAATACTTAAGTTTCGGAGCAAGGAGTTTTGATGATGTGAATTCTTTTATTTAAACAGTTCTAAATTTGGTAATTTTTTAGATCAGTTTCTATAGAAAATTTTTAAATTCCCAGATCTGGAAATTTTTCAACAATTTTTTTAAAACATTGTAACATTGATAAATTTCATTAAAGTAATGGTATATATTGAAATTATATTTAAAAAATAACATTAAAATAAAACCTGCCATATAAAGTTCTATTTTGGCAATTTATTTTGAATATGAAAAATAAACAAGGCATAATGCTATAAAGTACAATTTACCAAACAGATCTTGTCAAAAGCAAAATTAGCTATGCAATTAATTTAAAATGTCTCCTTAATTTTTTTTCATGGCAAGTTTTTTCCCCATGTAGTTGTTTCAGAATATTCAGAATTCTCACAATATGGATTAGTTTTCTCTATAAAATTAGACGTTAGAGCTTAAAATGCGTATACGCATTTTAAGTGTATACGCGTTTTTACACTTTTACCCTTTTTTCCTCCAAAAATATTTCTGGGCTTTTTGCCATTACAGAATTGGTAGGGATGATTTTTCTTTAGGATTTTAGACATTACAGCTTGGAAAGTTTAGGAGGATTTGAGGGCAAAATTTATAGACCCTCAATTCTAGAAGATTAAAAAAATATGTGACAAAATGAAAAATGTCTCCATGGTATTAACATGCAGTGGATGTGTTTTACAGAGAATTTGCAATGAATTTTTTTATTGGAGAATTTCTGTAAGAACAATCAAAATATAATATACTTCTGATACTAGAATCTTTTTCTTAACATTTTTGTCTTCTCTTTTATTTTCTCTACTTTTCACTAGACACAGGCCTGGAAAATATCAAAAATGCTTCAATCTTATCACATGGACAGGTGTGGGATAAAAATGAAAGGAATTTTTTATTAATGAAGAAAACTTACAATTTAAAAGATTCACCTAATATGCTTTAATGCATAGAGCTAAGCATTTTCCAACCTGATGCAATCTCTGTGGATCCTAAATTCTGCTGCATAATGCCTTTCTAGATTTTGTTGCTCAGTGTGTCACTAAATTCTAAAGATTCTGTAACTGGCCCTTACAATATATATTTCATATTTTCTGAATGTTCATATTACTAAAGAAATAAAATTAGCAGCTTTTCTATACATTCTGAATGCATTTTTTAGAATAACAGAAATCCTTATTTAAATCCAAAAATTCTGAAAGGAATCATGTTGAAGAAAGAAGCTGAATAGACAAAGAAAATTATTCTTCAAAGATATGTACAGTTATTATTATGTAAATTACCCTGTTTGTGATTTCAATCTTTACTATAATTTCCCATTTCTGTTTCCTCATGATAGTTATTGAGCCAGCTTAAATTAAAATTAAATTGCATAGTTTACCACCAAGTCCACGTGCATCATAATGATATCTTTTTATACACGATGAATGACTACTAGTCCATATTTTTAGTTTGAATTTGACTGTTCCTGTTTAATTATATCACCATGAGCTGTAATTGATTTCATTAGCATCAGGATGGGCATCCCATATATGCATTCCCTAAGAACGTCTCTTACAGCCGGGTGTCCCATCTACGCATCACTAGAGATTGCATTCAGAGGAGGGGGGATGCGTATACGCATTTTAAGCTCTGACGTTTTGATAAAGGCTACTAGATGGCATTCTATGTCCATTAATTTTGAAATGAACAGTTTTAGGTTTCTGACCTTGTGTTTGATATATTCTGACTTTGTTATTTTACTCATCAGCTGTTGCTAGGGTGGGGGGAAGCATAAACAGAGGTGGGCTCTTTAAATAGCCGCGTGCTAATATAAATATTCGTATGTCTGATTTATATCCAATTCCTTTTTTTATTCTATTTTTCCTTTACTATGTACGGTCTTTTAGGGTTTATATGTTAAGTTCTGTTACATTTTGCATTGCCTTCGGACATATTTCCGTTTCTTTTCTTTTTATTTCGGAAAGCCTCACCTCCAGTCTACTATTATGGTGGGAATGTGCTATTTATCAGAGGAACAATACCCTCGTTTGGTTAATGAACCATTTACTAACCAGATGAGAGTGATGATTCTTTTTCTAAAGAGTTAGAAAGTGATGCTTCGAGATTTACCACACTCAATCTTCATTTTAAATTTTGTTACTTCTTACTGTAAATAGTCTTTATTGTGTTGTTTTATTAATTTTAAACTTTATTGATTAATTTTATCAATTAAAACTTTGGAATAATTTGAATAGCGCTTCCAAAAATTATTTTAAGAGATAAAAAAATTTTAATTATATTTTCGTGTAAAATAAAGAAAAAACGTTATTAAGTGCTAATTTTAATGTATGTAAGAGCTCAAGTAATAATGTCAAATGATACCAAAAATTACACTGCTAGAAGTAAAACATTATTTTCCTCTTTTTTTTTTTTTTTTTTTTCCCCCCTCTCTTTTTATTTATTGGGCTTAGCGATGCAAAACCTCCGTCCTGTACGGTGACTGCCTTCGATTCCCTTCCGTTCCGCATGAGCATCTTAAACAAAAGTGTGCCGTTGTGAAAAGGTTAAATAAGAGGCTTATTTAAACCTTTGTCTGACATTGTAGTTACGTGCAGACATAATTTGCTTTCACCCAAAAACTAGTGAAAACACTAGGTTTGCGTATTGAGACAAATTTCTGATTGTTAGAAAAGATACATAAAGATAATTACATGTATTTTTAACTGGGAAATTTTATTAGATTGTGATTTTAGTAGGGCTTTTTTAACAAATATTGTTAAAAATTATATTTTAATAGTGGCTATGTAAATCTATAATGACTAAGGCTATCAAACTACCTAATTTAATTATTTATAACTAACAGCTTACCCAGCATATTAAAGCGAGTTATTGGATTTCATTAATCCTTACTGTGGCCACAAGATAAAACACAAAAATGTAAGAATTCATGTAAAACATATTCTTTGCAACTAGTGAGACTTAAAATAATACAAACAACTTATAACCTCAGTGGTTTTGTGGCTTATTGGAACCTTAAAGTATATTAACTGGTTTACAACCTTTAATAATAATGCATCCTACTTGCGGTCCTATTTTATTTTTAGGATGGTATTACAAAATGTGAAGTTCAGGCATATATAATAATTTTAATTGAATTTATTCAGTTTGCATTTGCTCATAGGACCTTAATTTTTTTCTTTAATGGTGCTTAAAAGTACTTAATTTCCACGTGCAGAAATGTGTATATTAGCAATTAATTACTTCCTTTATTCAAAAACATCCGTCAAACATTACCGTTCAAACATTAATTATTAGATACTTGCTTTATTCAGAAACATAACCATCAAACATTACAATTCAAAACATTACCGTTCTGAAGAAACTGTTGTTGTCAATCGGGAAAATACATTTTAAATAAAGTTAATGCGTTGTGTTTACATGTGTGAACCCTGGTGTGGTAAATACAGTATGTAGATTTTAAGACTGCCAATAGTAGTGCAGAGTGTGGAAGAAATTTAGTGTCAGTGACACATTGGGAAATCTAAGCAAACTGGCCTATGTCGGTTTTTTAAGCAAAGTTACAATGCTTCTTTTTAAAGAACACAAAATCTCCCAACACCTCTTAGCATTTTTTGTGAAAACTGGTTGAAGAATATTTTTAAAAAGTATTTTTACTTGCATTTTTGCACTGTGTAACTGTATTTTCAGATATTAAATACTATGTAAAGTTTGTTCATTATTTCAAAAAATTTAGTTGCTGAGAAAATTCCCAATTAGTAATTTTGCTGTTTAGCATACCTTGCATCTGCTTTGTATGTCGCCATTAACAGTAAAATAAATTATGATTGATTGCAGATATGATGTATAACATCCAGAGATGATAAATCCTGATATATTCTCTGCTAGATAGTATCTGATCTGTGAAGTGTTAGGGAAATAATATAAAAATGCATCTTTTGTGAGACACATCTCGCACAATTCTTTTATATGTGGCTTATTGCAATTATAGTGACAGTATCTACTTTACCTTTATCACTGTGTGACTAGAATTAAATAACTTGATGATAGCAGGTATGCTGTATATAACACTCAGAAATATGTGTCATTGTCTGCTAGATAGTTTCTGATCTGTGAAGCAGTAGAGATAAGTAATGAAAATGTATAAGAACTAGAGAATTATTTTGTGTATATTTTTAATGTTGGCAGTATAAAGAATAGGTATTCTAAATATTTTAATATGTAAAATGTTTAACTTTTGCAGTCGTACTTTAACAGCTGTCCATGATGCTATTCTTGAAGATTTAGTATTCCCAGCAGAAATAGTTGGTAAGAGAACAAGAGTTCGATTAGATGGCACCCGGCTTATGAAAGTACATCTAGATAAGACTCAACAAACTAATATAGAGCATAAAGTATGATTCATTTAATATTTTATTTAGATTTAAATATTTGAATCGATGAGATTAAAGTTTTTATATTGATAATTATTACATTTAAATACATGTTAGAAATAAATATTTGGCCTAGATGATGACCTTACAATCCAACGCCTATGTTCATTGAACAGTTGAGGAGAAATTGTAACTGAAAAGGCCAATAAAATGTTGTATATGTGTGCTTAATATGAATTTGTCAATTTTTTATTGTAGTGTTCACTTTATTTTATTAAAATGTTTGCCTTGGTATCTTTATTGGCAGATAAGAAAGAAGTTAATAATAGTAAACAATTCATTGAATGACAATGCTGTTCCATAAGGTGCCTTAAATAATAATTAGAGTTGAAAATTATGGCCATTTAGAGATAGAGAACAAACAGTACAAAAATAGATATATGTTATACCTATTAATATTGTTTTTATTATTGCAATATTGTGGCATGCACAATGGTTACCCCACATAGTTGCCAAGATTCTAGGGTGAAAAATGTTCACCAAATTTTAGCTTGTGCCGCTGTGGAATAAAGAATAAGCTAGAGCAACCTTTTTTACATTGTAAGAGTCAGAAAATGTAAAAAACATGCAGTGCCCTTGCCAAGATTCCAAATGTCATACCTCCTGACTGCTGGTGTGATGATCTTTCGGTTATACCATGAAGGCATGTGAGTAGGAGAGAAAAAGTATCTTGGAAATAAAAAAAAAAAAGTATGAATTACTAAATTTGTTCAAAAATAGTATGCACATTAATTTTATTTTTACCGTGTTAAACAGAATTTTGATTAATTGAAACTTTCCTTTCTTATCAAGATTTTTCTCTGTATAAAAGTGTGAGAAAATTACAACATTAAATTAGCGGTAGCATACAAAAGTTAATATATATATATATATTACGTCAGAATCTATACTATTGAAATCTGTGCCATTATCTCATCTGGAGTGGAGTGGTGGGGAGAGAGGTTCCCCTGGCTTCCAAAAATTTGTTTAAAGCTATTTCAACCATTCTCATCTATGTGTGACCTTTAATTGGCTGAGATATTTATTACAAACTTCAAAAACGCCCATTTTTTAGTTTATTTTTCCCGAGTGGCGCACTAGTCGGGCATATTAAGGATAAAAATCAGCTTTATTTAGAAGTGTTACCGATCGATTTTAGTTCATAGCATATTTTAATAAAAAAATTTATTTTACAAAATATGGCTCAAAAATAGCATTGCCAAGTGTTAAATATTATTATGTAAGGTCATATTCTGATGTTGAAAAAGCATGCAGTTGCATGTGACAGCATTGTATGTCAACCTTTTTTTTTTTTTTTTTTTCGTCAGCCATTTTAAATAACTAGCTGTTGGTAACTTTTTTGTTTCAGATTATATAATTCTTTTACTGATATTAAGAAAAAGCTATTACATTATGTTAAATTTAAATCATGACGTCGTATGTGATCTGAAATGCTTTTGTTCCTTGGTTTGGCTACAAAAGAATTATTTCTTTTTTGAAAAAATGAACTGATTTCATACTGAGCTGTTTTTATGCATTTAGTGTTCATGTGAAAATTTTGCTTTGGGCACAGCTAGTAACTTTGTGTACAGTACATTAAATAAATACATTTTAGTTTTCCAGTGCATTTTAATAATTTTATTAACAAATATTTAACCCTTCGACTATGAATTCTTAAAAACAATTTAGCCCGTTTTCTATCCAAGGGGGAGAAATATGTCATAAATAACGTAAATTTAGCTTAGGGGTTGTTTTTGACAAATGGTTTTCAAGCCAGAAGCTAAGGCACGTATGTCCCAGCCGTAAGTAACCCATTCTTGACAGGCATCTCTTACTGAAGCGTTGTCTTGGGGACGGGCAATTTGCGCTGCTAGGCCTAACTTTGTAAAACAATTCGTATAAATTAAATTTTTCATCCAATATACATTATGAGAAAAATATTCAGATAGTTGTCAGAATTAATATTAATGCTTTATTAATATAATTTTCCCCTTATCCCACAAATAAATATAAAAGGAAAAATATCCAAACAATCGCAGATTTTATTTAACACAATGCACTATTAAAATTAAAAAATATTAAAACTGTCTTTCATAAAAATTCAACGAGCAAAAAAGTAAGCAATATTTCAAAATGAGACAGTATATGATATTCTTTGAAACATGGGTGTACGCTAAGTCCAACGTCGCATATGTCACAGGATTATAATATCTGCTGCTATTTTACTCGCCAAATTTGACTTATTTAGCATATGTATATGTTCTACGGTCAGATAGTGCTTTCATTTTGCCATTAAAAAAACTTTTGCTAAAGGATACAAAATATTCGTCTCAGTGCCAGGAAGCTCAGAGTAATAAAAAGTCTCTAATGATAGAACATCTATTCCACTATAACGGGATAAAAAAAATAAAAGAAAAATTAATAAATTAAATTATAAGTATTTCAAAACCATCAAGAACATGTTCATTTGTTTATATAAAATAATGAGGCAGTAAGAGCTATTACATTACTCAACACTAATGAATTAGCATTTGTATATAATCTATGTTTAGATACTGCTTTTGTTTGCCATTAAAAAAATACGTTTCTGGCTAAAATATTCATTTCAAAGCCGGAAAAATGTAAGAGTTGTAAAAAAGAATCTAATGATAGAACGTCTGTTCCACTATATTGCAAAAATAAAAATAAAAAGTACCTCAATGCAGCGAGAATACCTGCATTTGTTTATATCAAATGACTCGGTTAAAGATGCATTACATTGCTCAACCCCCACCCACGAATCTGAATCTCCCTCTCATTCGGAAACAAAATACCAAAAATAAAAAACATTGGGTAGGAATGAAAATAAAATACTTGTTAGGAAAGTGGGATCTACAGAGGAGGAGGGACATGTAAAGCCAAAACTGAACCAATACTATTATAAAATTTCAACCTGCAATCAGAAGAATTACCATGAAGGTGTAATAAACTAAATTTCATTTATAATCCTATACTAATTAGAACACTTATTGCAGAATTGGTACATATTCTGTTAGATTAGTAGCTGATATTAAACCTGAAGTCCCCCGTCTTTTATTCCAATCATTTGAAATTTGTAACAGACCTATTTAAGTGTAATTGAACTATTTTATTCATGCCATGAACTCATGAACTGTAACCGAACTATTTTATTTAAACGCCATCTCGTGGCGATATGGAAAAACGTCAGTCGAACTCCAGTCGCCATGATGTTAGTTTACTATGTCTCTGTTATTTAACTGTTTGATGTTTCATTTTAATGTATATTTCTTTTGTTTGTAACCGTTCCTGTGTGCTCTGTTAATAAATCCTTTTAAAGCTAGCCGGCATTAGTGTCTGTTGAGGAACGGCTACAAATTGCAAATTCAACTTTAGAAGTATGAACATGCTTGTAGCATGAGCATTTTTCTCTTTTGGGAGGGTTGTTATATTCAGAACTGTCAGTTTTTATTATTATTTATTTGCCTTATTTAATGTAAACCATATTTCTGTGAGGAGAAAGTTATGTATTATATATATATACTTAAAAACTTCTCAAATTCGTATGACTTAAGTAATTTGTGTACTAATGAATTCTTTTGTCATTTTATCATACAGTCAAAAGTCGTTAATCCGGACTCGTCGGGACTTCGGCGATTCCGGATTATAGATCATCAGTTTAAATCTGGTAAGATGGCATGCAGAAATTACAAAATTAAAAATATGAAACCGTAATTTATGAAATAAAGAACAATTATGATCTAAAGGGTATCAAAATTTACAAAAAGAAAAAGCTTAATATTTATTTGTTTACTTTATTAAACATTTCTTTCAATGTAAGTTGTTTAAGTTGCTTCGTTTCATGTGATAATACTTTCTCTTTAATTCTATAAACAGACATAATTTTTGTTCAGTACAAAGTTCCGCTGTTCAAGTCCTATAATTGCTGTGTGAGATACAACTAATTTGTCAATCGAAATTTTTTCGTTTCAATAACCTCTGTGTCACTTTCTTCACTATCGGAAGCGAATTATAATGATGAGGGATTGATTTAAATCATATGAAAGACGGAGTACATCGAGATGAAATACTACATTTAGTAAGGAATTATAAGCCAAATAAATAAAAACATCTGCCCTGAAGATAAGGATAGTGCCTGACAGATCAACTTCAATTCATTGCGCGCCGCGTCGTTCCCCCCCTTCTCCCGCCGCAGAGCAGCGTGAAATTGATAAACAGATTTCGGAATGGTTAGAAAAAACGAAGGATATGCTTTATCCTTTTTTGGCAGCAATTCCCTTTTTGTTTAATGGACTTCGAAACATACTTTCGCTTTGTAGATCCTTTACATATTAAAATATATATCGGAAATTATTTGACATAATCGAAAGTTCAAGCTTACTTTTATAAAATGTGTAACAGTCTGCAAAAAATATAGCCGGATCCAATTCGAAGATTAAGGAACAACGCAATCTGCAACATTAACTAAATAGATAATTTAGTTATCTTATACCGTCCGTTGTACATTAAACGCGCATGCGTGAATGTATTATGCGCACACGCATATTCGCAGCCGTAAAGGTCTTACGCACATGCGTCAATGCGACGCATGCGCAGAATGTTTGTAGCTTTGAGGTCCGGATTAACGACTTTTGACTGTATAAATCAGCATTTTTTTACGGTGTAGATGAACTTATCAAAATTTACTTTCAAGATTGGAAAGAGATGCTGCTCTGTAAAAATTAAAATGAGCTGTTTTCATTTCTAATATAGTTAGCTAGTTAAATATAGATACTAGCGTTAGTTAAAATCATATGTGAGAATATTTAGCATACTAAATGATGTTATTTTGTGTATTGATAAAACTGATATCTTATTCCATTGGAAGTTTCTTAAACAAGTTAAATTGTGTGTGTGTTATCATTTCATTCAAGTTATGAAACTTTGTCTGATTTATTATAATTTTATTAAGTATACTGAATGTATAAATGATAGTGGAAATATAATTCTAATATCCTCATTATTCTTTTTGCAGACCGACACATTTGCTGCAGTTTACAAGAAACTTACTGGCAAGGAAGTCACATTTGAATTTCCAGAACCTTTGTTTTAATCAAGAAGTGTGACTTGAAAATAAAAAAAAAATAAAAAGTTTAAAAAAAAACAGGCGTCTTCAGTTTTTGTAATTATTCAAGCTTTATGAATTTACAGGTTCTGTTTAAACATTATGCATTTAAGAAGTCAGGAATGACTAACTAATTTCCTGGTACAGGGAAGTAATGAGTAGTGTCCATGACTGGATGTCAATCTGAAATAACTGAATAATAAGTCAAAATAACTGTAACTCACTAAGAAACGTATAAGTAAAGGAATTGTCTTCATTTTAAATACTCAAGTACATTATAACACAAAGTCATCTCTGAAATAGTGCAATTGTAGATTGCTGTGTACTGAGCCAGTTAAAATTGATTGTATTAGTCCAATGGTTTCCCATGTGTGGTCATTTGACAATTCTTAATGGAGACGTAATAGCACGCCAAATAAATACTAATACAGAAGTCAAACAACAAAAATTGGCGTTAATTTTCAAAATTTTCACAGGACTAGTTTCGATGGTTTTACCGAACCACCATCCTCAGCTGCAAACCATTTGCAGTTTTGCAGCTGAGGATGGTGGTTCGGTAAAACCATCGAAACTAGTCCTGTGAAAATTAACACTGATTTTTGTTGTTTGACTTCTGTATTAGAATTCTTATTGGGTTTTGAATCTGTTTCTTATAAATATGCAATTCTTGTATTTTAATAAAATAAATAAGTCGTGATTTGTAAAATTACACCAACTGAATCTTTAAATTCTTTCAGTAAAGTTATATTAAAATTACTATTTATATGGACATTGATTTGATAAATGGTGTGTACAGTTTTTTTAATTGGTATAATTTTAACCTCGGGAGAAGCATTATTTGTTATAGGTGATGAAAAACAACTTGTCATTGGAACGAATTCTCAACATTGTATTTTTTTATATTTCACATATGCCAACAAAATTGCTCTGTGGTGCATTTTTCACATAAATTAGAATGGAATTTAGCAATAGAATTATTTAGATAGAAAAAATCAGCCAGGTATAGGATTCTTAGGAACCTGTTGTACTACTGGTTGCAAAGTATTATTGAGAAGTTGTAAAAGAGCATCTTGAATGGTAAACGTACACTGCATGGTATTAAAAATGTGATTAATTACGTATTGGACATTGTTGTATCTCCACTGAAAACGTCTTGGATGTTTTTCTCTGGGGTGTGTATAAATAAAAGTCAATAAACAATACTTAACAAAATTACTACAGTTAAGTATGGGATAAAATTAATTTTTAAGAGTTTTCATTTAAGGAAAGGTATGACTAAGTAAGGTGTCTACAGAGTTGCCAATTCTTCTGATTCAAGCAGGAGATTCCCAATGTCTGGTGGTTGGTACTCTCACCAACCTCATTCAATTTTTTCCTGGTTTTTATCTGGCATATCTCTTTTGCATCGGGAGAAGCCAAAGTCTGTTTTAATCAAACATCTAAAATGCCCGTATGTTTTTTTGTTCTAGTGGATTTCTACCCTCATGCTAAGTTGAATGTTAGAGCACTAACAATAACTTACTTAACCTTTTAACTGTCAAGTTATTTTGATGATTTGGGTGCATAAATTGTCAGTTTTTTAAAAAAATTGAATTTTTTTTTAAATTGACAATTGTTAGTGCTCCTGTTTTTTTATTCCAAAAATGAAATGTTTTCCTAGCAATCAAAAAATGCTGCACACTTTGAACTTTGAAACCTTCAGTAAAGTGCTGCCATCTGTTGAATTGAAACTGAAATAATTTTCTTGATATATATTCGGGTATAACAATAAGATGCACTAAAAAAATTACCCCGAGTAATATTTGGACGTGACATTTTGGAATACAAATGCAGTGTCCGAGATTATTTCGGGCATGACAGTTGAAAGTTTAAGCAAAGCAAAACCCCTGGCAATGTGCTGATATCTGAATGGTCGGGTGTTTTGGGCAACTTTAGATATGAAAGAGTTAATATAGTTTGTTCATTTCTTTGCCGAGTACTGTGAATTTCACATTCTTTCAAGAAATACTTTAAACTGCAATTCTGCAAGAAAAACTGGGACAGTTTTTATATCTCCCATTCTACTGTGCGGATTGACAAAATTCAAATTGCATTTTGCATTTCTCGAAAGCTTACTGTATTTATATATAACATTGTTCTAATACTTTGACACAAAATCTGACTTTTCTGAAATGACATGCTGATTTTTTTTTCATATTTCCATTCTATTAGTCAAATTATGCCTAAATATTAAATTTTGTTAAATTTGCGGAGATTATTTCGGGAAATTAAAAAATTTTATCTTTGCACGTTTTTTAGTCAAAAGTAATTTGCATAGCAAAATTCTTAATTTATGGTAACCCCTATTTCCCTTTCATTGTGCACGAATGAAAAAAAAAAGTGGATTATTCATTCTTTTTAATAATTTTCTTTTATATTTTTAATTATAATTGTTAATATAAAAATTTTTTCTTTTTAATTATTTTAAGTTGCATGGTTGCTTTCAAATAACTGTTTTAAAAAAATTTTTATTTTCCATTCGAACTACCTAGTTTAAATAAAGAAAAAAAAGAAATTTTTAGTCAGTTATTATTTTAGCCAATTTTTTAAATTTTTAGAATTTTATTTTACTATTTTGTTGTTGCATTTTTCCCTTAAGATAATTGTTTTAAAATTTTCTGTTTATTTATTCGACTGTGCATTTTAAATATTCATTAATATAAATGTTCCAGAATTTGATTTTATTTATTTGAATTGTGTTTCTTTCGAAAGAATACTTTGTCTCCCAGGTTACGATGAATTTGAAAACTGCATATATTAAAAGAGAAAATACAGAAACAGTATATAAATAAGAGAGATATATAAGCGACATTTTAACTTAAGATGCTTGCATATGTTGCGTTACAATTTTATCATCATATATTTAGTTTCTTGAAATGTTACTCATGTTTTAGTCAAATAAATAATTTTTGAAATCGCAGAAATCAAATATTAAAGACGTACAGAAATGAATGATACAAATGCTGCCTCAGAGTGGAATACAATTTATTAACAAAAAAAAATAATCAGTGGCAGCGGGGATTATTTCTCGTCCTAAATCATTACACTTCTATCTGGCTGGGAGGTCCCAGAGAGCTTATCCTAGTCTGTGGGGTGTAGGTGCATGACCTACGAACAGTTGCATGCAATTCGACAGAAGATTCAACATGTTGTCCCCTTCATCTTTATCATAAACTGCAATTCTGCAAGAAAAACTGTAACTTGCAGTACTCGGCAGAGAAATATATTAACTCTTTCATATATAAAGTTGCCCAAAACACCTGACCATTGAGATATCAGCACGGTGCCAGGGGCTTTACTTTGCTTAAACTTTCAACTGTCATGCCCGAGATTACTGGTATTCCAGAACGTTACGCCCAAATATTACTCTGGCTTCTTTTTTTTTTTTTTTGGGGGTGGGTGTGTGTGTGTGTGCATTTTATTGTTATACCCGAATATATATCGAGAAGTTTTATTTTAACTTCAATTCAACTGATGGCAGCATTTTTTGAAAACAAGGCATGGTCTGAGGGGATGATTATGGAGGGTGTGACAACACAGTGAAGCCAAATGGCTCGAGAGTGTGCGGGTGTTCTGTCTGGTGTAGGGATGTGTGTCATCATGCTGCGACAACGTGTGGTCTGCCCATTTGCCCGGATGGTGTTGTTGAATGTGCTGTTACAGTGTTTTGACAACCTTGCAGTTGATGGTTCAGCCAGCCCACAAGAAAAGTGCCCTGGACTTCCCATTTGTTCCCATGTGCAGCGGCAGCCAAAGTTTCTAATTCCTTTAGTTCATTTTTAGTTTAGTGATATTAAAAAAGTTTTATGTAATTAAGCACAATGAAAACTTGGCTAAGAGATATTTTATGCTTTACGTTAGACTGAGCTTATCAAAGTTTAAACATATTTCTGGTTTCTGTCAAAGCAGAGGAATAGTGGTTCTACTTCTTTAGAAGTATGTGAAATTAAAAAGATGGAATTTGATTCAAAAACATACCTCTTGAACATGCTTGAATTTCATTGTTCTGCTTGGAATAAATTTATCTAAGGAAATGTGTAATAAATATGAGAACTCAAATGCTACGTCAGGTCAAAGAAGTAAGGGTCATTTTGTCTGAATATATTTTTTCTTAATCACCAAGTGACTTTGAAATGAGAAAGATAGATAATAAGTGTGGATGAAATGGGCATGAAAAGAGAAAGGACAAAATGGCGCTAAGCCAAAGAAAGGCGTGCCTTCTTGGAATCCATTTAAAGGAACTCACTAGTATACATGTTACGCAAGGGGGAAAGTGCCCATGCAGTCACCTTTTCCACTGGGAAATTCAAACCACCACTGTTCAGCGTGTTTACCGCTGAGCATTGTGCCTACATGAATAGCTAGCTTAAGAATTGGATGACTGACACTTTCTTAATGTACAGTTTTTTTTTTTTTTTTTTTTTTCATTTAACTAATTTAATTTTTCTGATATTTGAACTTTTTCTCGAATTCATTTTCAAAGGAACGATGTCTAGAAAGTTTCGCAAATCGAAAATAAATGATTAAGTCTTATGTGAGATGCGTTCTACCAATCAAAAGAATTTTTTTCACGTTTAGAATATAATAGATTTTATGCATACTGCTTATCTCAACAAACTCTCGAAATTTTTTTCTTTTGAAATCAATAGAATTTTTTTTACGAAATTAAACCCACTAAAACTTAGAATTTTCTTTAATTTTATGTTTGAATGTTAACTTCAAAAATGGAGCTAACAAACAAGTTATAAGGTCTAATTGCTCTTGGCATGCAAAGTGTCAATGACCTGTAAGATTGCTGGGGATTTCTCACTAGTTGACAGAGCCCGCCAAGCTGTAAAGTCACAGAAGACTGGTAGTTCGATTTGAGTTTCCACGAAGGCGTCCCTTCCCTCAATCAGAAAGCTCTCGAGGCTTTGTTGTTATCACATGAACTAAACACTTCAAGTCAAAATGATGTTCAATAACAACAGAATAAGGATGTCAGTTCAAGAGAACTATTT